CGTCGTATGACAAGGCGGATATTGCTGCTGTATGCTGAGAGATTAGAGAGCTCAGTGGTGTTTTTGCTAGATTTGCGCTCTTTCATGTTCCACGTGAAGCAAATGAAGCTGCACATAGATGTGCCAAGCAAGCTAGTAGCACTAGGAGAAGATGCCTCTGGATAAATTTTGTCCCCTCCTTTCTCCAAGAATGTACACACCACCCTTGTAAGTTGGTTGACTAATAAGCAAAGCTCCTTGATTGCAAAAATAAAATAATCAGGTTATTTTTTCCACCAAAATGTGTTAAAGTTCAAGAAATATTGTATTAGTACATTTCACTTAACATGGCACAAGTTCAGTATCTCTTTGTTAACAGCTCTACATTTCTTTGATCTTGGTTCTCTGTCTCTCAACAGAGTTCACCATCGACTTAATTTCCTTGTGCAACAACCAGGTAAACTGTCAGTAAGGGACTAGAACACTTTTTTATCTGCTTTTCCCTTTCGTCCATGATAATAGAATTAGAACATTGCTTTGAGTATTGGACGAATGTACAATCTTCCTTATCTATTATTTTGTGGAAAGTTTGACCATTATTTTGTGGAAAGTTTCGCCATTATTGTGTTCGCATATCCTCAAGTTAGTCATATTTTTAACTATATATATTTGAACAACTATGTCCTCATATCATATGCCCATAGTAGGTAAGTGCAACTCGATCATTTGGGGCTCGGGGTTTTTTATTCTAGTGGAGGCCGTCATGTGAGCAAGTAATTCGCACAATAGAAGTAGATGGCCACATTTAATAGGAATATAGGATAGGATCACTGTGATCTTGTTTCTTTTCTCTGAATCTTCTTAGTTGGGAAGTTTGTCTCTGAAGTATATATGCAGGTATCAGTTAGAGTCCCCTTGTTGATGTTTGATCATGTGGGAAGTTTGAACCTACTACCTGTTTCCTTCATCCTCCTGGTCGTCTAATCTTCTCCCCGCCATCTTGCGGGCGGTATTTACCAAGCTGTCGTCACCTGTCAGAAACTGAAGACTGTAAACAACAAAGTTCAGGCTATGTGGCATTGAGAGAAATTTCAGGTTATGTACCAGACTATCAGTACAAATCTACAAACTCCTCTTCCACTTATGTGCCTTGTGTTGCCTCTCTGTGTTTGTTGGTTCTGTTTGATATTTGCTATACTGATTCATCTATGAGGATTAGCATTATCTTTGTAACTATCCCTTTTATTGATACTAACACAATGCCCGTCCTTTGCTGTGAAACTATAAAATACGAGGAGTTAGCTTAGTGGCTTAGGAAATCGTCAAAATAAGTTGCCCTCGTGCGACTTTTGCTTGTGGTTCAGTATTAAAAATAACAAAAATACAACAAAAGATCATGCATCATTCATTGGAGAATCTTTAGTGACCATAGTCCTTTACAGACACAATATTTCGAATATTGAAACATATGAGAATAGACATTGGTAAATTGATTGCACAATATCGTGGATCAGGTAGGACGACAAGGTCTATCTTCGTTTTGGAAGTACAATTTGTTCACTCTTTTTCTGTGATATAAAACTGAAATAACTTGGTTGGGAAGGAAAAAGACAAAAGCATTATACTGAGTTGGAGTCACGTTTATGCGTTTGTTATTTGTGTCTTCTATAAGCGTTGGTCTCACTTGAATAGAAGTGTATTTGTTTATTAGTGTTTGGTCCCACATGTGGTCATCCTCGTCGTCGAAGTCGGATGATTCCGACATAGAGGAGATGCTGATGAAAATGCCGAGCACCTCCTCTTGTTGCATCTCGTCCAAGAATTTTAAGCCGACAAGAAGAAGAAGCGCCGCGGATCGACGGTTGGCCATCTTTGCATTCCGCCCAACCGAACTCTTGACCATAAAATGTTCATGACAGACTATTTTGCCGAGATACCAACCTATCTCACTCACCTCTTTCGTAGGCGTTACTGAATGATATTTGAGAGATACTGCATTTGTTGAGCACCAAATGAGATCACTGCATTTGTTGAGACCTACCGGCAGATTGAAGACAATGCACACACCAAGGCAATGATCTTATTGAGCACCAGTGGCAACTGTATTAGAGATAGACTCCCTTTTGTTTGATCTTATTTGTATTCATCTATGATTTGAACAATTCTTCAATTCAGGACGATGTTGTTATTGTTTCAATTATTCCGTTTTGAACATTTATTGTAATTGAGAGGATTATTGTATTGTATTATGTTATAACATATTAATAAATTTGATTTATATTGCCGTTGTATTTAAATTATATTGTTCAAAATAATGATTTTTGCCTCAACTAAAACGAATTTGTGGTACCACTTGCGGTGGGCCGGAACACATGCCGCAAACCCATACCGTAAAAAAATTGCGGTACTGCAAGTCTGTTTTAGAGGCAGCTGTAAACTTGTGACGAGAATATACGACATCTTTCTTTTGCAAGGTAATACGTGTCTCATTTATATCATAAGGATCATAGTACGAGTCACGTACATACTGGCCTGGCAAATCAGAACAAATAGCAGAACCCTAGCCTTTGCACAAAGGAACAACAACCAAGAAGTAAAATTACAGACAAGACTAAAGAAACATCTGAGCTTGACACCGACGTCCGTCACATGCCTCTGGCACCACAACAGCAGCCACCAAAAGAAAAAAATGACGGATCATCTTCACACCTGAGCTTAACGTGGTTCCATCACTGACATGCAGCTTTGCAGACCTTCAAGGTGGCTCTTTAAAGGCGAAACCATTTACGTTGAACGAATCAGGCCGGGGCAACACTCCGGACATGCCATCAAACTCCAGATCTGGCAGCCCCACATGACTAAGACGTCAAAGGAGGAAACCGTACCTACAATCCACGTACCATGAACCCAGCACACGATCCACCATCTTCGAGATGCCGTCGAAGCAGACCACAATCTGCATCCATTCTTGGACTACCTCCCAAGCTCCTCGTGGGCGCTGGAGCAAACGTCGTCGCAACGGCAGAGCCTGAGGACACAGGTCCACCACGAGGATGCCGCCGCTGCCACACCATCCTTGCTTCAACAAACTGAATTCCAAATCCATCGCCAACCATAGGACCAATCGCCTCATCGGAGTAGGATCTGAAGAAACTTTATTCAGCGTCGCCATCATCGCCGCCGAAAGTCAAGACGATGAACCGCCTAAAAACTAAGCTAATTTGGGCTAAAACTATCCACCCACGTGGATCTGGCGCCCTCCCCCCCCCCTCACCACCGATGACCGAGGTCGCCGGCGGAGGGGGCCGCCGGAGGACGGCGACAGAGAAACTCCTTGGCGACGTTGGCGCCTGGCGAGATCGCCTCTTCCTTTGCCATCTGTTAGGCCTTGTACAACGCGGGATGCCTCGACAGGGTGCTATGTGCGTTGCGTCTAAAAAAATTCTTTGCTCCCCAATGCAGAGTGCTTCATATGTGGTGCCTAAGCAGCTTTGACATTCACGTAGCATCTACACTGGCACCCATTATCTCCAACGCAGAGGCGCTCTGCTGCTCACATGCATAGACTGGCTTTGTCCTTTTCTATTTGCCAATGGAAGCATCAAGGTGAAGTACCCATGACTAGAAGGGGGCACTTGTTTCCACCAGGCACCGAAGCAAAACTTTGCTTCTACCTCCCTTCTTAATTAAGCATCCATGCAATCTAATCTATGAAAAAAATGATTTTTTTTCTATGGCACCTGGGTAAGCACCTGCCATTGTACAAGGCCTTAGAGCATCTCCACTAGCGCCACCAGGTAGCCCCCAAGAGCACTTTTTCATCGCCGGCGGCCAAAAAAATACCCACTCGCGCCCCACGATCTCAATTATCGCCGGATTTGGGAAAAACTGTGGCCGGCGCTCTCACTCCAAACCCAGGATCCCAGGGGCCAGCCGGGGACGCCGACAGTTGTCTTTTGCATGCACAGGCCCACTGTCAGCCCCTCTCCCTCCCCTCTCTCTCTCTCTCCTCTCTCCTCTCCTTTCTCTCTTTTCTCTCTCCTCTCTCCTCTCCCTTTCCTTTCACACCTACCGCACACAGCCCCGCCTCTCGACCTGCAGCGTGCCGCCCCTCTCCGTCGTCTCCATGTTCTCCTCCGCCGCTGCAACCGCCGTCATCCATGGAGGCAAGGCCGTGACGGGGCACCGAGTCCTCCTGCACGGCGACGCCGAGTCCTCGGGAGGCCGGGCGCGGACGCGCGGCCGACAAGGCCTGGGCGCGGGAGGGCGCGGCCTGGGCGACGGCGCTTACAGTGGTCAGGCGAGGCGAGCGCGGCGGGGTGGGGCGCGCGCGGCGGCCAGGGGCACAACGGCCAGGGCGGGGCGCGTGCGACGGCCAGGCAGGGGAGGTGCACGCCGGCGAGGAGCCCGGTCCTTCTCCTCCCTCGTCCGCTGATCACCAGCAACAGCTCGTCCTCGTCGGCCCCAGCTTCTCGCCTCCTAGGGGCGCAACGAGTGGGAAAATTCCCGCCCCCAGGCCAAAGTTCTCGCCGGCAGCCCCCCCAGGAGGCGAAAATAATGCCTCCGGGGGGCTCAATGGTTGGAGATGCTCTTAGAGTTGTTCTAAAGATTGTCCTAAAAATACTGTACTGTATAAAAACTTACTTAAAAAATTGCAAAATTTACAATGATAGCAAAAGGATCCCAAAAGAAAAAGAAAAAATGTACTAGTACAGATTTGCAAAGGGGCAAATCTCAAGTCGCCCCCAAACGGGAAATTGGCGAGGTTTCCATGGTCCGCCGCCGCCGCCGCCGCCGTCTCGCGTCCCCCATCATGCCGCTCCCGGCGCCTGCGCCGCCGCTGGACAACGACGACCTCCTCCGTGAGATCCTACTCCTCCTTCCTCCGCAGCCATCCTCCCTCCTCCGCGCCTCCGTGGTCTGCAAGCGCTGGCGCCGCCTCGTCTCCGATCCGAGATTCCTCCGCCGCTTCCGCGCGCACCACCGTAGGCCCCCACTCCTCGGCTGCTTCTCCTACGACCAAGATATCGGTTACGTCTTCACTCCCACGCTGGACCCGCCCGACCGCATCCCCGCCGCGCGTTTCTCCCTGCCGCAGCGCTGCCGCGACGAGGGAGGGTTGGACTTCGTGGAATGCCATCACGGCCTCGCCCTTTTCCTCAACAAGAAACAACCCGAGGCCGTCGTGTGGAACCCCATCTCCGGTCACCAGCACCGAGTAGCTTTTCCACCAGAGTTCGGCGACGCTAGAGAGAGGGAGATCCTATGCGCGGCGGTGCTCTGCGCTGCCGGTGATGACGACCCTGGCCATGTGCACGGTGATTGTGGCTTGAGCTCTTTTAAATTGGCTTTGGTGCGAGGTGGCCAAGACCACGCAAGTCTATCTGTGTGCCTCTACAAATCCAAGTCTGGCCTATGGGGAAATGTTATCTCAACGACTAAAGACTGGTACACATTGTTTTATTGGAGAAAGTCCAGCGTCCTGATTGGGAATGCACTTTACTGGTGGTGTTGCCAGATTGAAGGTTGCATTCTTGAGTTTGATTTTAAAATGCAGAAGCTTGTTACAATTGAGAAGCCAGTAGACGGCGGTTGTTCCAACTATCAGATCATGCGGACAGAGGAAAGTAGTCTCGGACTCATCATTTTGACAGAACTGACCATGCAGTTATGGGAGCGGAAGGTCAGTTCTGATGATGTTGCTACATGGGTCCTTCAGAAAACCATTGAGTTGACAAAGCACCTTTGGCCAAGACAGTCCGTCCAGGTCTTCTGGACCAGGATACATGGGTACGAGGAGGATCACAATGTGATATTTCTGGGGACATCTAGTGGCTCTTTCATGATTCAACTCGACTCAATGCAGTTCAATAACCGATTCCAATTCAAGTCCATCTTCACCCATTTTCCCTACACAAGCTTTTATGCTGCTGGTAATAGCCGACCCTTGCATCGCAATAGTAACAAAAACTAATTATCTTTTGGTGTGTGGTTAAAGGTTGCCTAGCAATTCATGCATAAGTTATATGCTTGCTTCCTCAGTTTCTGAACTCATAGTGATGTTTGTATATATTTCACTGGACCATGTGAAAGAAAAATTATTTTATTATTGTCTCTTGTCTATAGTTCATTATTCTTTGATTTACTTACTACAAGGTATTCAAATTTAAGCAGTCGAGTTATTTTTCTCAACCAGAATGTGTTCGTTCAAGAATATTACCATTGGTGCATCTGACTTAGCATGGAATAAGTTCACTGCAGAGGTCGTTCTGGAAAACTCATTTCCATTGATTGGCTCAACAGTCTGAAAATGGCTTTATTAGTAGGTAGATGATCATTACTGTTTGGAGTGATTCGTTTTGTTTAGAGGAAGTGTGCTCCCATAGGTACCATGTATGGCTTTATTTACCTATTCCTAACCTTGAATCAAAAGCTAGTGATCTTCTCAGGTTACATGAATATGTAATGGTAAATTGATGCAAGTCATAACTGTTGCACCTTCACCCTCTCTTTCTGTGTTCATTTTTTGTATAGATTTTTTGGTTACTTTATTTGTTTTCTTTTGCTTGTAGACTGGGCTGGTGGTGGTAGAGATGATGGAACTGAAATGTCAAGCAGTACATCACCTAATTGCCCTATCAGATAAGCTACCATAATGTGTTAATTGAACCCGTGATGTGCATTTTGCTTCTGATACATGTTTATTTATTTATTACCTTGTCGACATTTTGATATAATCCTGCAAACTGTGTATCCTCTGAATATTAAGCTGTTCGCGACCTATCTAGTAGATTGGGATCAAATTTGTTTCAGTTGTAAACAAGCTGCGTATTATGTAGTATTTTATTGGATGTGACCACTTGTGTTTCTTCTTGCCCGTTTTGTATTCTTTTTTCTAGGACCAAAGTCCCAGAGAGAATCCTATAGATCTCTCATTCACATATGTTCCACAGATGTCACCACCTACGGTACTGTTAGATGTGTATAGTCTCTTTTTGGTATATCCCCATTGTATAAGGGGTTTTCTGCACTTCATCACACATGTATATGTAATGGCCTTTGGCCCTCAGTAAAGAGTAGTTGCTCATTATCCAACATGGTATCAGATGCTAGGTTGTCCTCGCTCTCCTGCACGCTGCAACTCCGTGCTCCCCCTCCTAGCCTACCTCGTCTCCAGCCGCCTGCTGCTGTTCCAGCCGCTGCAGCCGCTGCACCGGCTATCTCGTCCGGATCCTCCACCCCGGCTATCCCGTTCGGCCTCGTCTCCCCTGTCTGGCGCAGATTGGCCCGCGCCAAGGCAGCGCCGCTCCATCCCCCGCGTGAGCGAGCACCTGCCGGCCTCGGGCGCGCCACCTCTGCACGATCCCGTTCGGGCCGCACGCTGCTCCTCCTCTCGCGCTGGGCCGCGCAGTCCTCGTCCTCCCTCCTCTCCGACCGGCCGCCGCCGTCCCTCTGCGACCGGCTGCCACCGGTCCCGTCCCGTCCAACCGCTGCTGCTGTGTTCCTCCAGCCGCCGCAGTCTCCTTCCTGCCCGGTCGATCCGGAGCGCTCTCGCTCGTTCCCCGCCTCGAGCGCCCTCACTCGTTCCCAGCCTCGAGTGCTTGATCCAGATCGAGTTTTTTGGGTCCGTTGACTACAAAAAAAAAGGAGAACAAGAGGGAGTGTTCAACATGTCTTCTTCTGGCTATGTCGCTGTTCCTCGATGCTCGGTGATCTTTGATGGCACCAACTATGTTTAGTTTGCGGGCTTCATGCGTATCCATATGCGCGGTCTTCTGCTGTGGGGTGTTCTTTCTAGCGAGGTCCCCTGTCCGCCATGCCCTGTTGCTCCTGTGGCTCCTACCCCACCGGTGCCGCCGGTCCTTGCTGCTGATGCTTCTCAGGCTGATCGGGATGCAGCCAAGGCGCTCGATGCTGCTGCGGTTGATGCTTATGATCAGCAGGTATCCGCCTATTCAGATGCTCTTTTTGTCTATCGGGATGATCTGTCTGCTTACACTTAGTGGTGCAATGATGATGCCCGAGCTGATGCTGTTCTCATTGCGAGTGTCCTCAGTTTGCTTCGGAGTTCATGGGTCTCGGCACAGTTGCAGCGATGTGGTCTTATCTTTGTCAGCGCTATCAGCCATCTGGTGATGCTCTTTACTTATCTGTGGTGCGTCAGGAGCACGCTCTTCAGCAAGGTGACTCATCTGTTGACGAGTTCTACACACAGAGTTCTGCCATCTGGTGTCAGCTTGACTCTCTTCGGACAGTTGTTTGTGGATCTTGCCGCTGCTGTCAGACTATGCGGTCCGACTTGGAGTTTCAGCGTGTCCATGAGTTCTTATCTCGCCTCCGCTCCGAGTTTGAGCCTCGACGTGCCTACTTGCTTGCTCGTGGTCGTGTTCCTATCTCGGAGGTACTTGCCGAGCTTCGTGCTGAGGAGACCCGCCTTCGTTCTACTGGGTTGCTTGCGGTTCCTTCTGTGTTGGCTGCCCGAGCTCCTGTGTCGCCTGCTCGTCCCACTGCTCCACCGCTTCTGCCCACACCTTCAGGGGGGGGGGTCGCCCTCCTTATGTTGAGAAGGGTCGGTCGCGCCGTGACACCTTCTGTGACTACTGCTCCAAGCCAGGTCGCCCAGAGTCTGATTGTCGCCAGAAGCAGCGAAACCAGAGGCGCTCCTCTTTCAGTGGGACTCCTGTGTCGTCATCGACTACGTCACTCACTGACCAAGACATTGTGCGCCTCAAGCGCCTTCTGGCCTCCTACGGTTCTTCCTCGACGGGCTCTGCTGCTGCTATGACTGCTTTCACCACTTCATCACCGCAGGCATCTACACCGTCAGGTACATCTTCGTGGGTTCTGGACTCTGGAGCTTCCTTTCATATGTCCTCTGATTCTTCAGCGTTGTCCTCTCTTCGCCCTCTTGATTCTCCTATTAATGTTCTTACTGCCGATGGCACATCTCTTCATGTTGCTACTCGGGGTATTCTTTCCACTCCGTCCTTCTCTGTTCCTAGTGTTTCTCATGTTCCTCGCCTTACCATGAATCTTTTTTCCGCTGCCCAACTTACTGATTCTGGTTGTCGTGTCATTCTTGATACGACTCTTGCTCCACTCAGGATCGTCGCACCAAGGCTTTGGTTGGTGCTGGCCCCTGGCGCCGTGAGTCAGAGGGCCTTTGGGAGGTTGACTGGCTTTGTGTTCCTTCCGCTGCCACCACTTATGCCAGCTCTCATGCTCTTGCTACCTCTTCGTCTGCGTCCTTCCAGCAGTGGCATCATCGCCTTGGTCACATCTGTGGCTCTCGCTTGTCTTCTTTAGTTCGTCAGGGCCTCTTAGGGTCTGTATCTGGAGATGTCTCCTTACATTGTAATGGTTGCAGACTTGGCAAACAGACTCAGTTACCTTATCCTACTAGTGAGTCTGTATCCCAATGTCCTTTTGACTTAGTTCATTCTGATGTCCGGGGTCCTGCTCCCTTTGATTCGAAAGGTGGTCATCGCTACTATGTTTTGTTTATTAATGATTTCTCTCGCTACACTTGGCTCTACTTCATGAAATCTCGTAGCGAGGTTCTCCCTATATACAAACGTTTTGCTGCCATGGTTCATACCCAGTTTTCCACGCCCATTTGTACTTTTCGTGCTGACTCCGCTGGAGAGTATATCTTTTAGCTGTTGCGTGGTTTTCTCGCGGAACAGGGTACTCTTCCCAGTTCTCATGTCCTGGTGCTCATGCTCCGAATGGCATTGCCGAACGCAAGCATCGTCATTTGCTTGAGACGGCTTGTGCGCTGATGATTGCTGCTTCCCTTCCACCCCATTTTTTGGCTGAGGCTGTTTCCGCATCCACCTATCTCATCAACATTCAGCCATTGACTGCTCTGTAGGATGGTATTCCTATGGAGTGTCTCACTGGTCGCTCTCCTGACTACTCAACTCTTCGTATGTTTGGATGTGTGTGCTATGTTCTTCTTGCCCCCCGCGAACGCACCAAACTGACTGCTCAGTTGGTTGAGTGTGTTTTCCTTGGCTACAATGATGAGCACAAGGGCTATCGATGTTGGGATCCAGTGGGTCGTCGCTTGCGCATCTCGCGTGATGTGACTTTTGACGAGTCTCGTTCTTACTACCCACGTCCTTCTTCCTCGAGTTTCTCTGTGGACGATATCTCTTTTCTTCTTCTTCCCGATACATCCTGCTATGTGCCTCCTGTGTCACCTCTTCCTCCGGCACCTCTCATTCCTTCCCATTCACCACCATCCCCATCTTCTCCATCTTCCTCCTCCACCTCTCCACCCTCATCTCCAGTCCGTCGCCCTCTCTCACCGTTCCCTCTCCACTATACTCGTCGCTCTCGTACTGAGGATGTCTCGCCTGATGCGCCTTCCCCCTCTGGTGCACCTCCCCTCGTGCCTCCCCCGGTTCACAACCTCCGTGCTCGGCCTCGCCCCCCGCCTATCGCTACTCCCCTGATCGGTACGGTCTCTCTGTTATTGTTGAGCCCACTTCCTATCAGACTGCCATGACTCAGCCTGAATGGCAGCTTGCGATGGCCGAAGAGCTTGCTGTCCTTGAGCGCTCTGACACATGGGATCTGGTTTCCCTCCCTTCTGGTGTTCGTCCCATCACCTGCAAATGGGTCTACAAGATTAAGACTCGCTCCGATGGTTCTCTTGAGCGCTACAAAGCTCGTCTTGTGGCCCGTGGTTTTCAGCAGGAGCAGGGACGCGATTATGATGAGACATTCGCTCCTGTGGCCCACATGACCACTGTCCGCACTCTCCTTGCTGTGGCTTCTGTTCGTCAGTGGTCTATCTCTCAACTTGATGTCCAGAACGCATTTCTCAATGGCGAGTTGTGTGAGGAGGTTTATATGCAGCCACCACAGGGGTACTATGCTCCTGACGGTATGGTCTGTAGACTTCGCCGCTCCCTCTACGGTCTTAAACAGGCCCCTCGCGCCTGGTTTGAGCGCTTCGCCTCTGTGGTGACTGTCGCTGGTTTCTTGCCCAGTGATCATGATCCCGCATTGTTTGTTCACACGTCTCCTCGTGGTCGGACTCTTCTCCTTCTTTATGTTGATGATATGATCATCACTGGTGATGACTCTGACTACATTGCCTTTGTCAAGGCTCGCCTTCACGACCAGTTCCTCATGACTGATCTTGGTCCTCTTCGCTATTTTCTTGGGATTGAGATCTCCTCGACCTCTGATGGCTTCTACATCTCTGAAGAAGAATATATTCAGGATCTTCTTGCTCGCGCTGCTCTCGGTGATGACCGCACAGTTGTGACTCCCATGGAGCTCAACGTTCAACTTCGCGCCTCTGATGGTGACCCTCTTCCTAATCCCACTCGCTATCGTCACCTCGTTGGCAGACTCGTCTATCTTGTTGCTACGCGTCCTGACATCTTCTATCTTGTTCACATCCTGAGTCAGTTTGTCTCAGCCCCCACCTCTGTCCACTATAGTCATCTCCTCCGTGTTCTACGATACCTTCGTGGCACGATCTCTCAGCGCCTTTTTTCCCCCCGCTCCAGCTCTCTTAAGCTCCAGGCCTACTCTGATGCTACCTAGGCTAGTGATCCCTCTGATCGACGCTCGCTGTCTGCTTACTGTGTCTTTCTTGGCGGCTCTCTTATTGCTTGGAAGACAAAGAAACAGACTGCAGTTTCTCGCTCGAGTACAGAGGTTGAGTTGCAAGCCATGGCTATGTTGACGGCTGAGGTGATCTGGTTACGGTGGTTACTTGAGGATTTTGGTGTGTCTGCCACTACCTCGACTCCCTTACTGTCCGACAGTACCGGTGCTATCAGTATTGCGCGTGACCCGGTGAAGCATGAGCTCACCAAGCACATCGGTGTGGATGCCCACTTTGTGTATACTACTGTGCAGGATCAGACTCTCACTCTTCACTATGTGCCCTCTGAGTTACAGTTGGCTGACTTCTTCACAAAGGCACAGACTCGAGCGCATCATGGCTTTTTCCTCTCTAAACTCAGTGTTGTTGATCCACCATGAGTTTGAGGGGGGTGTTAGATGTGTATAGTCGCTTTTTGGTATATCCCCATTGTATAAGGGGTTTTCTGCACTTTACCACACATGTATATGTAATGGCCTTTGGCCCTCAGTAAAGAGTAGTTGCTCATTATCCAACAGGTACATCATATTTTGAGGGCAACCGCTATCTAGCTCCCATCTCCTGGCCCTACTTCTTAGAGCATCTCCAATAGGTGCCCTATAATAAGGCCCTCTGCTACCATCCTGCACGGCGACCAAGCGGCCATGGAGATGATCGCACACCTAGGCTGCCCGGCGGCGAACCTTCCAATCACCTACCTCGGCATACCCATGTCCACACGCCGCCCATCTGCCGCCCAGCTGCAACCCATGGTGGACGCGGTCGGCGCGCGCCTGCCAACATGGAAGGCCTGGCTGATGACTAAAACCGGGCGCCTCGCGCTGGTCAAGTCAGTCTTGTGCGCCATCCCAGTGCACCAACTGCTTGCATTCGCGCCCCCAAAAAAGACCCTCAAGCAGATCGAGAAGATCCAGCGCGGCTTCCTCTGGGCTGGCCGCGCCGCTGCCAATGGTGGACACTGCCATGTGAACTGGAGCAGAGTGTGCCGCCCCATCGAGCTCGGGGGCCTTGGCGTGTGAGACCTTGAGCGGGCCGGCCTCGCCCTGAGACTACGCTGGCTATGGTTTTCCAGAACGGACCCGGAGCGAGCTTGGCTAGGGCTCGACCTCCAATTTTCGCCCACGAAACGTGCCCTGTTCTGGGCATCCACGTTCACGATCCTTGGGAATGGGCTGTCCGCCCTGCTCTGGGAGGACCGGTGGATTGGCGGCCGATCCGTGCACGAGCTCATGCCCAACTTATACGGCTGCATACCCAAGCGACGACGAACGACGAGAACTGTGGCGGATGGGCTCAATGGCAACTCCTGGGCACGCGACATACAAGGAAACCTAGGTCTCCACAAGATTGGCCAGTATCTGCAACTTTGGCAGATCATGCAGCGCACCGAGCTTTCCACCATACTGGACAAGTTGATTTGGCGCTGGACAGCGAGCGGCAACTACTCTGCGCAGTCCTGCTACACGGCGACCTTCCATGGAGCAACGGCCTGCCACTCATGGAAGCTGATTTGGAAATGCTGGGCGCCACCGCGAGTCAAGTTCTTCCACTGGTTGGCCAACCAGGACCGATGCTGGACGGCTGAGAGGCTGGCTCGCCATGGCCTCCAGCATCACCCCCGCTGCCTCCTTTGTGACCAGCAACAGGAAACGATGCGACACCTCATGCTGGAATGCCCTCTCGCCCGTCAGGCATGGCACGAGACACTGGCCTGGCTTCGCATCCCGGCCCCGATCCCCTCGCAGGAACCATCGCTTACGGACTGGTGGAGACAGGCCAACGAAGACACGCCGCCGACACTGTGCAAGGCCCTGAAATCTGTCGCATTGCTTGTGCCTTGGATGTTCTGGAAGCACCGAAACAGCTGCGTCTTTGATAATACGACGCCTTCCCTCAACACACTACTAGATAGCATTAGGGACGAGGCCCGCTCATGGGCGGCAGCAGGGGCACCTGGTCTCCGACTTGTGCTGCCCCAAACCTGGGATGTGCACTAATTAACCGGCTGTAACCTGCACATCCTCGGATGATTGTAAATGAACCCCTCCTTTTCAATGCAAAGAAACGCAAAGCTTTTGCGTTTTCTTGAAAAAAATATATAATAAGGCCCTAAACTGTGGTTGGAGCAAAATTTGCAACACCTAAAAGTGCTTTTTTACAACACCAAAAACCTCCCACTCTAATAGGTGCCCTAAAACAGGTGTTGGCTGTTGCAAAATACATCATGGTTGTCTTCTTGTGGGTGCCCTATTTTAGGGCACCTGTTGGAGCAACAGAGTGATATAAACAACACTTGGTCATATTAGAAGAATATATAATTTTCAGTCTCTATTTCATTGTGGACATTTAGACCAATAATCTTGTATTTGCATATCCTCGACTTAGTCGTATTAGCTATGTACTTGAACATTTTATGTCCTCATATGCCATGATAGGAAACCGCGGCTCGATAATTCGGGGGCTCGATGTTTGATTCTGGTGGAGGGTGTTGCATTTAAGGCGATAGGATCACCGTGATCTTATTTTTCTTCTTCTGATTCTTGTCAGTTAGGAAGTTTGTCAGTGACTGGATGTTCTGTTTGTTACGTAGATTAGATTTCCCTTGTTGATGTTTTCATCATGTAAGAAGTTTCAACCTACTACCTGTTTGCATCACCTCCTGGTCCCTATATAATCCTCTTCCCCAGTGAGCCAAGTCATCCTGGCCGTCTATCTGGAGGTATTTACCAAGCTGTTGTCACCTGATGGAAACTGAAGACTATGTAAACAGTATGGTATCAGACTATCAGTACAAATCTACAGACGCCTCTTCCAATTTTGTGCCTCGTGTTACCTCTCTCTGTTTGTTGGTTCCCATCTGATATTTTTGCTAAACTGATTTACCTGGGAAGGTTTGAGCATTGTCTCCATAACTCCTCTGTATAAAAAGGAAGCGATGCCCCCAGCATCTGCATTGTTTGGTGCGCACAACCAATAAACTCGGTAATTGTGTTGCCAGATTTTACGTTTGGGACTAACTGAGAATTTACAGCTTAACCTTCGTCTGGGTGACTAATGAAACTGATATTATTGTTTCCTTCGTAGTTAATCGGAGCTGCTTAGAAGCCTCTTGTGTGAACCGATCCCACATATATCAGAACCAATCACATGCTGAGAGAAGATATTTATTTGACAGCAGAATAAATAGGGGAGAACAAGTAATCCCGATGACTGGTAGCATCAATTCTGTCAAGCGCTGTGCTTGATTTGCTGTTGGTTGGCCATACAAGCACTTACATTTGGAGATCATCTTCAGTGTCAGATTGTTGTCATATTCTGTCAAGCGCTGGCGCTGGCGCCAATGCCATTTAGAAGTCCTCCTGTGTGCTAGTCTGAACAAATCATGATTTTACTGGCTTAATAGTTATTGGCTGCTGCATGAATAGTTCTGACCACTGTACCAGAATACTGAATCAGTTATCATGAGAGAATGCTGAATGAGTGCTGCTGCTGTTTCTCTTGGATTATGCTTGTAGCAGGGAGGCACTGCCTTTGTTTGGTCATCTGGACACTCCAACAATATCAGGCACATGTATGTGGCTTCTTCATCTTTACAGCCCATGTATATGCCACTGAAACCAAAATTGAGACTTCGCAGATACTGTCTAAATTCAGGTATGTGATTTCACTCACAGACTAATGACTAAACCCGACAATTCGTGTAGCAATGTATTAATATTTTCAGCATATACATCAACACAAACATATACATAGGATTAGGAACAATCGAATCCAAAGAAGCAGAGACCTGTAGAACCTACTGCCCAAGCTAAATTCAACTTCCATCCAAAAATAACACCCAACTATCCGGGATTATTCGTGCATCCTTCTCTTTGCTGGCTACGAAGGCCTGAAGAAGTGTCAAGATCATTGGGAATAGGCCTTGCCGGGCAGAGCCACCGGCCTGAGCTCACCACCATGGAGGAAACCGGCGAACCACTTGGCGGAGTGCTTCTGGTACCTCGTCCTCTCCTTGGAGCTGAAGTCCACACTGTAGAGGCCATAGCCCATGCGGTAGCCGAAGAGGTACTCGAACACGTCCAGGAATGACCATACGAAATAGCCCTGCACATTCGAGCCGTTCCTGATCACCCAGCAACAGAGAGGAAATTGGTGAGCAAACTGCATCAGTTTCTTTCAGGTGTCCTCTACTGAGATGAATGGATGGTGTTGGTACCTGCTGGATTGGAGGGTCGCCTCGATGTAATCCTGCAGGTACTGCGACCTGAACTCGTCGTCGGGGGCGTTCCCACCGGAGGGATCAGCAATGCTGGCAGCTCCTGATGGACATGATCATTGACGAAATGGTATTTCAGGTTGATGAGTGATCAAAAGTTGATGACCTTACAGAATCATGCATTTTAAGGTAGCTGAAAGTTCGGTCAGTAGAATTTACCATTCTCGTGGATCATGACCACAGGGTTCTTGTATTTGACCTGCAGATGCTCCAGCATTTTCCTCATAGACCACGCTGTTGATGACATGAAACCCATTTTCAACCCAAACAAGAGCTGTTGCATTTAATTTTAGCCACACACACACACAAATGATTTAGTTTATTGGGAACAAAGTTCATTTTCGAACTAAATTGATTAGTGACGGAATGACTTGTATCATCAAATACCTGGTTCTTTGAGTTCAAAAATGGCACTGCAAGAATACATTTGCAGAAGAGTTAAGTTTCATTTCTCTCATTGCATTGTGGCACATAGTATAACACATGACAGGACTTCAGGTTATTAATATTCTTACCGGTGTCATATTTCACGGCTGCATCACCCATGTAATCTCTCAGCTTCTGATCCAGCTTGCTAAGATCAGCCTTCACATAAGCGGCACCGTAATGGTTAAATCCGACAAAATCAAAAGACCCACGCACTCTCTTTAGCTCTTCAGCGGTGAAAGATGGTAGCCTGGACCCAACATTCTTCCTCATCACTGGTGGGTAGTCTCTATGCACCAATGGATGCATATACCTGTGTCATGATTACAACATCTTTAGCTCTAGTTACGCACACATTCTAGCTGTCCTTGTTGAACTTGAAATGTAGAAGAACGTACCATCCAATGTGGAAGTCATTCATCCTTGCAGCTGCTGCTATATCCTCAGGTGTTTGTGTTGCAGGCTCGAACCACCAGCAGAGCAATGTGAGTCCAAGTTTTCCTCCTTGCTTGGCCTGATTATCAATAAATAGAAAGGAATATTAGACCTGTGAGAATGACCAATCCCAAATGAACAGGTTGTTCTGTAAAAGATGGCATCGTTTCTAACCTGATACTTCTCTTTATACAGGGACGCTGCTGAGGCATGTGCAAGCAGAAGATGGTGAGCTACTATGTAGGGCTCAGTGGTAGAGTTGCCATTGTTGCAACTGATGCCGAAGGGGGAGGAGCATCGCTGTGGTGGAAAGAATCCTACATCGTATCCGCCAATGGGCTCAATGTTTGGCTCATTCACAGTGCTCCAGTATTTCACCCTGTCGCCAAAGTTCTTGAAGCACACATCTGCATACGTCGTGTAGTCATCTCTGCAACCATGTGACAAAAAAGGGTAAAAGGAACCATTATTTTTTCTTCCTTTATGAAATTGCACTTGCACTAATGACATTGAATAATAGGGAAAGAAGAATTTACATGAATTTACGACTAAGCATCCCATGGTATTCATCTTGAAGAGCCTGAGGGAAGTCGAAATGATATATCGTTACGTGAGGCTGAATTCCTACATGAAACAGAGGAAGACGCACGATTTATCTCTGCACAGCTGGACATTTGGAAATCTTGTCATTTCTTTCGTAAATGAAGGATTCAGTATGCCAAGGATCAAATACCATGACTAAGGAGTTCATTGATAAGGTTGTTGTAGTACTCCAGTCCTTTTGGATTGACAGCTCCTCGGCCATCTTCATGGATTGCAAACAGAAGTCAGTTCAGTGCTATTCTTAACTTCTCTGAAACACATTATTCAATAAATGTAGTGCTTTTACTAGTACTGTCGGTATGGCCTTACCAGGAATAAGCCTAGGCCAGGCAATGGAAAATCTGTACGCATCGACGCCCATCTCGCTCAAAAGCTTTACATCTTCCTGGTGGTTTATCACAGTAAGTTTAGTACCGCCTTATTGGTCTGGAAATTCATCCATTTAACATTACTTGGTCTCACAAACTAACCTTGTACTTATGATACTGATCTGCAGTCACATCAGCAGTGGCTCCATCGGCAGAGTAGCCTGTGGATGTTAAAACTCCATGTTACAATTCGCAATGCGATAATGCGTGGTAGATTCAGGCCCACAGGGTGTGGGGAAGCCGGTGAATAAACCTGAGTGTGTGAATGTGTCCCAGATGCTGGGTTTTCTTCCGTCCTCTGCAACCGCGCCTTCAATCTGGGAAATCAGCGGAATGTTCAGACCGGTACGCACAACAAAGTATATTATACTGTACAATACAGCGAAGTATCTTATACAATGTGAAAGCTTTTTTACTACTTGTAGTCCCAATTCTGGTGATTCAGACGGCAGAGGCTTAAGAGCAAAGGCAGTTAAATTTGACCATTCTATCTAAAAAACAATGATAATTTGGACCCTGTTTTCCTTTGTTTTGACCTTTTTCTGGACTCTCGGGTCCTAATCCCTAGCAACATAAGTGGATCACTATTATTTTCTTCCCTCCACTATTGAGAGCTTTGGTTTATTTATGGTTCCAATCCTGCCAACACGACCGCCTATTTGCAGCTTTCACTGATTAAGATGCTCTGTTTCGCTCCAGCCAAAAACAGAAAGAAGTAGCCGAAAGAGAAATTAGCCTGGTGACATCGAAATGAAGTCGACGAAAGAAACTGGTGAGGAAACGGCATTTGGGTTGTTTTCTGAAGACTATATGGGACGAAAACGTCGTTGGCGGGAACAGAGTGTAAGTATAGGCTGCCGGTGACTGGTTGCTTAACTTTTTATTATTATTTTATAATAAAGGGAGCATCCTCCCAATTTCATTTAACTGAAATCACCATGTCTTTTTACAAACTACCAAAAGAAACTGGTTGCTTAACTTGGATCGAGTTTAGGGATGACATTAGAAAGAAAGCTTTGTGTTGGTCAGAGTTCGACCCTGAATTTAAGCAACTGCATGTTTCGAACTACTACTTCACAATTTTGACTTTTTTAGACATTGAACCACTCTACTGTTGCATCAACACAAGTACAAGTACAGTTATCCAGCATCGCCACATGCCCACATTGTTCATTCACTTCAGATCAGATAAGAAAAACATGGCCAGAACACAAGGGAAAAAAGAAGAAGAAAGAAAAGCTCTTTGGCCCCAGAAATTCCATGTCCATTACTTTCTTGCACGCCCTGTTCCACCTGTCCGATTGATGGCTCAGTTCACTTTGATAAGCCACGTCACTTGTGACCGAAAATGTCGTCAAGAAAAAGGCGAAGGAGCAGGTGAAGGAAAAGGGAAGGCCAGGAGGAAAACAGCACCAGGAAAGGGGAAAACGCACACGGTATGCAAATGCAACCTCTCTAGTGTTTCCGTTTTTGAAGGTAAAGAGGAGATCTTTCATTATTTGCATGTATTGTTTTAGAACCGGGCACATTATTTGCATGTATGAAGTGTGGTGGTGCTAGATGGAGGATATGGAACAACAAGTTGGCATGGAGTACTTTCTCCCTCCGGAATTACTCGACGCTCAAACGGACGTATCCAGTATGATAATATTCCGGAGGGAGTACTTGGCAGCAATTTCATGCCCTGCACAAAGATAATATATATTCCAGTATACTACTAGCAGTAGTGTTCGTTGATACTTAGAATAGAACAAACACGGAGGATGTGGCTCTCTGTACGTTTGCTTCCCGATGGAGAAATGTTTAGGTCACATAGTACGTATATACTCCCACTGTTCCTAAATATATACCCCCTCCGTCCGGAAATACTTGTCATCTAAACTTATAAAAGAGGATGTATGTAGACGTATTTTAGTTCAAGATACATCATCTTTTATCCATTTTGATGACAAGTATTTCTGGACAGAGGGAGTATCTTTTTAGAGATATCAATGTGAACTATTCCCTCTGAAAACTCATATAAAAGTGTTCAGATCACTAAAGTAGTGTTCTAAACGCTCTTATATTAGTTTATGGTGGGAGTACGTACGGATGTATATAAACGTTTTTAGAGTGTAGATTCATTCATTTTGCTTCGTATATAGTCTATATTAAAATCTTTAAAAAGACTTGTATTTAGGGAGTAACATGGTATCTCTGTCTGTTTTAATTATTAGTACGTACGTAGATGCTGGTACGTGCAACAGGAGAAATCCCGACGCACGAACCACCGGCGATACACTGATATACGTACTACCATGGATGCAACTGAGAGGGCGAGGCACCCGCCTGCGCCTGGCTGGCCGGTGTGAGCCGAGTGGCATAGCAGTGCGTACCTGATAAGCGGAGGAGCCGGTGCCGAAGACGAACCCCGGGGGGAAGTCGCCCTTGGTGATCGCCGCCGCCGCGGACGCCCGAGAGGCGGCGGCGATAAGTAGGAAAAGGACGCAGGAGAGCGTCCTCGTCGCCGGCATCCGGCCCGCCGTCCTCATCGCCTTCGCCTATATATAGACAGCTAATGCTAGCTCTGTCGATTCGCCGGCCACCGCGCGCGGTCTCGACGGTGGTGGTGGGTGATGAACTGATGTTATCTTTATATGCCGTTCCCGGTGCCCTGCGGCCGCTGAAGCTTGGGAATGGCATGGCTGCGAGTGCGTGTGTTTATGTGTGGTATAGGACTCGCGTCAGCGTCGTGATCGGCCGTCGGAGAAAAAAATGGAATCTGGCTTCCTGACCTCGCCGTCATCGGACTGCTCTGGCTGCGTGTACACTATGCCAGGCAGAGTGGACGGAACTGCTTTGTCCCTTCTCGAGGACTGGAAAAGTCAGGGCGGGCCCCACCACGTCGGCTGCACTGTTCCCCGCTCCCGCCCACGTCGACAACCATGGACCCACTTTTGCTGCCACTGCGACGCCTTATGGTGCAGCTGTACTTTTCGATGAAAAAGAAGAAGGTAATCCCGGATCCAGGCTACTATATTTGCAAGGACTTGACTAACTTCCATACGTCCGGAGGATTGCAACACATCCGCACGATTTCAAAAAGTAATAGGAGCGAGCGTGGTGTACGAGCCAATTCCTAATTCATTTTCAAGTCTGCGTGCATGCATGCATATAAAACAGAAATGATGACATTAGCAAAGATTCTAAATAAATTCAAAATGCAAAATGTTTTGTAGCCCAAACCGTCGGTCCGATTGAAAAAATGTTTTCACATAAAAGAACCGTCTCGACGAGATCTTCGAAACAAGATCCCATGTTGATATGTTCCGACGACTTTTTTTCCGAGTAAAAAGTTATCACATCTCGGGTATGCAAGTTATCACGTCTATGGTACATAAATTACCACGATGTTTACATATAAAAATTCCACGCATAAAAATGATTTCTTTCAAATTTCTCCCCACATGCAAATGCACTTAAAGTGCAGAAAAACTAATGTCATCATAGATTCACTTTATTTCGAAATTCCAAAATGTTTTGTAACTCAAACGGTCTGTTCGGTTCAAAATCCATTTTCACAAAAAAATCCGCCATGGCAAGACCTTCGCAACAAGATCCCATGTTGGCATGTTCCGACGGCTTTTTCTTCTGGGTCAAAAGTTATCATGCCTAAGCTAAGTAAGGTATCAGCTCTATTGTGTGTATATTACCATGTAATTTACACACATTCTTATTGAAGTATATTTTCAACAACTTTTTTCATGGGTAAAGTTATCATGGTGTTTGTACATAAGTTATCAGGCCCGAGAGCCTGTATTTTATTTACAGAGTATGTTTTCAATAATACTTTTCCATAGGTCAAAAGTTATCGTGGTATTTGTACCTAAGTTATCCGGTCTAAGAGCGTATCTTATCATGCTTTTACACAAAAAGTTATTGGTGATATGTTTTCAACAACTTTTTTCCACGGGTCAAAGTTATTGTGGTGTTTATATCTAAGTTATCAGGTCCGGGATCCTATATTATCATGCTATTCACGCAAAAAGTTATAGACAGTTCTACCTTCCGACCCTTCGGTATCAATGCCATTGACGCATAAGTTACAAGGTATGTTTAAAAAAAATTCCATCGGGTAAAAAACATAATCACGGGTGTTTGTGCGTGAGTTATCAGGTATGTGGTGTGAAACATTACCATGCTATTGACATAGAAGTTATCGGGGATAAGTTTTCAACAACTTTTATCCTTATGGGTCAAAGTTACCATGTGTTTATAGCTAAGTTATCAGGTCCATAGTATGTATCTTACCATGCTATTTACACAAAATTTACTGGGGTGTATTTGAATGCCTTTTTCACATGATAATTTTAACAAAGAGAAAACATGATAACTATACATGAACGACATGATAACTACAAAGGGTATCTCAAACTGACATGATAACTACAGAGGGTGTCTCAAACTATAACATGCATGAAAGATTCAAAGCAAACTATAAATATTATATCATAAAAAAGAAATGCAATATACACAACTAATTGCTTGGCTGGTTGGTTAGCCTGGTTAGTTTAGAGGTCTTAGCTTGCTATGGTTGAGAGTTCGAGTCCCACCTTGTACACTACTTTTTGCCTGGGAAATTAGGATCATGCAAATTAGGAGGTGACCTACTAATTACATTTCAAATAGGGCAACCCATTTATATTACGGGATAATCATGCCTAAGAAAAGGTGCCCCATCTGCTTCTTAGATTTGTCCCAAGTCAAATTTCATGAAGTCTGACAGTTATATGAAAAAAAATATAAACAACTACAATAACAATGATATACTATATGAAAAAAAATTAGTTCCATGATGCACCTAATGATATTGATTCGGTTTATGAATTTGTGATTAACCTTTAATTTACCAGAAGTCTGACACCTGCTTCTCATCTTTTTCTTTTGTTGGCTTTTAGTCCAATCATGTTTCGAAACTAGAGACATTTCGTCCAAAACCAAAAAAACAAGGGGAAACCACCGACGTGTCACATGTTTTCTTTCTCCCCTCCTCCCCTCTAATACAGCAGCAGCATTTTCTCGACACTGCTTGAGTGCGCTCGCCCTGCACATCAACGACGGCCAGCACCCACTGGCCGCAGGTGTTAGCTGCACCACGGCCAACATCATCAGGCTTGCCAAGTTTTGCTTGCAGTAGAGCATAATGACAATATCAGGCTCTTTTTTTTTGTCAGCACAACATGTGTGTGTGTGTTCATCTTCACAGCCCATGCATGTATATACTATTGAAATGGAATTTGAGATTCTGCAGCATTTGCAGGTGCTATTTAAATGCAGGTACGTGATTTCGATCTTGA